TATAACCTGTAAATTCTATATAGTAATAGGCTGAGACTTATAGTTCAATCCAAGTGTTACCTGTTGCTTCAGTAATTATCTTATTATCTGAAAAGAATTTTTTATTAAAAATTGACCTTGGCTATTTCTGAATCAGTAAAAATTTAAGAATAATCTAGGTCAATTCGGAATCAACCTAAATTGTGTAAAATAACTTAGAACAATAACACATCATTATATAATAATAATGATAATCAAATACTTTTTTAGTTGTATATATATATATATATGTAATTTTTTAACAAAAATATCCTTCTAACAATATTAAGTTCTGGATTTTTCAATACAATTTCTATTATATCAATATTATTAGTAATATACCAATATGTATTACACTTTTACTACAACATCTGAATCCATTACCAGGTCTTATATAGAGGTGGGTCCAGTCAGTCACAATCAGTTATCAGTCAGTCATTAATACATAACTAAAGATAAGACACTGTGCAGGCAGAATTTTTCAGAAGCTCGGAATTTTTCATAATGCTGCAGAATTTAACAATTTTAACTCACATTAGCTGTAATGCAGGCCTATGCAGGCTGTGCAGCCTGCATAGTAGATTTAAATAATTATTGATTTCCTTATCTCTACTTATAACTGACCAACTGCAGTTAGATCATATAACTAGTTATATAATTGGTCCAATAACTGTTTAGTTATTAGCTAGGTTTGCAACAAAACTTTTCTATTTATTCAAGTTGTAATCAAATCTATGTACATATTTACAGCTGTTCTCATAAATTCTGGAACAACTAATAAAATTTTGATCTGCTGAATTTGATAAGTTTTTGAATTCAGTATTATCAAATTACTGTAATGCTAAAAATCTAATTCTGATACACTGAATTTAAAAACTTATTGAATTCAGCAAATCAAAATTTTATTAGTTATCTCAGAATTTATGAAAACAGCTGTAATCAGAATTAGTATTAGTATATCAGGAATGGTATATCAAATATATAGGTTATAGTTTATTTAAGAGTGAAATAATATATGTGATTCTTAGTATATAATTGGGTTATTCTTCATTGTAATCTTGTGTAGCACTCTGAACAATACTTTAAAAGGTAGGTATCAGGAATGAATATCTTTGTATGCAAAGTCTTGGAATTGATTTGTTTGCATAACTTATTCATAGTTCAGTAAAAAAAAAAACCAATAAAAGAGCATATACATCTGTAAATCAAAGGTGCAATAACAAACAATAGTAAAAATAATTTTTTTAGCACAAAAATTAGTGATCTGATGTAAATTTAAAGTTCTTAATACTAAATATTTTGTAAATTAATAATCACTGATTATTAAGAACTTAATCAAAAGAATTTGTTAATTATTTTTAAATATGTAGATATGTTTTGTAGATTTGCAAGACCCCAGAATTTTTATTAGAACTAGTGATGTGTTATTTATATGATATTTAGATTTTTTTTTAGCATACACTATGTACAGTATATACAGTACATATAGTGCATATAATGTGTATAGCATGTGCAATATGTATAGTACATGTATAATATATAAACTATCTATATGCAAAATTTTAGAATACAAAAAGCAGCTTTATAAGAAAACCTTTGAGATATGAATGGTTTCATAAAGAAATCTTCTAGATATGAATGTTTTCATAATTGGTTCTATAATATCTAAAAAAAATTTATGTACTGTACTATATATGGTATATCACTAATCAGAACTGAGTTATGCTAGCTAACCAACTATATAGCAGTCAGACATTGACTTTATTAATAGGTTTTTAAGCTCAGTTACTAAAATTCTTATCAATATTCAGATTGCAAGTACTATAATCTTTTTTTATAAAAAGTCATTTTTTTATACCAGAAATGGATTGCAATTAGAAATAGATAAATCATAATTTTTTAAAAAATCCTATATAGGATTCATTAAATCTAGGTGCTTTGCAATTAATCTTATTTTAATTGGCTAATGGCTGTGATTGACAAACTTTTGGCTGCATTATACAAAATTTTGACAGAAGTTTGATTTTTTAATTGTTTAAGATTTGGGTCTGTATAATAATAAAATTAACCCAGAAACATATTTCACTTAGAGTTGAAAATTACAATACATGTAATTTTACATAAGTTTTAGTAACATGGATTTTATGTAATTTTATGAGATATATAGTACCTAGAGATGGCAAATCACAGTTTCTTCAAAAATCCCATGTGGGATTTATTAAACTACAAAATTTTAAAACCTAATTTTACTTAATAAGTAGTACAATTTTTTTACTAAAAATTTGAGTAATTTTGTCTAAATTTTTGGTCATTGCTGTTGTTCAATCAAAATAGTGAATTTTTACTATTTTTTGCAAGGTTTAATGGCAGTAATTACATTAAGCATGTTCTTTTATCTGATCCAATTTTTGTAAGATAATTTTAAATATTATTATTACTATATATATTATTTATTTTAAATGAGTTACTTAAGCATTAAAAATATTTTTGTAATGTAGTAAAAGATACTAATGACAAAGAAAATAAATTATTATCATATATATAAATAAACATATATGTGAAATGGTATGCAAATAAATAAATAAATTTTAATTAGGGATTAGCTAAATATGTTAATGCAGATTAGATATTATATTAATGCTAGTCAGATATTATGATAATGTCAGCCAAATAATATTATTTCAGGATCATATTAAAAATCCTGCATGTGTTCATCTCTATTTGCAATCAAGAATATGGTTTCCCATGACTGAAATAGAGTTAGTATAGATTTTCTCAGTTTCTGGTTTCAAGCAACTGCATTATGCAACTACTTATAAATATCTAATAAAAATTAGCAAAAACACTTCAACACTAACATGACAAATTTAAGAACCAGAACATTAATAACAGATTCTATTATGACTAAAAATAGGAAAATTAAGGATTTTTTAAATCAATCATGCAGACTATATAGCCTGCATAGGTCTGCATTATAGCTAATATAGGCCAAAATTGTTATATTCTGAAGAATTCTGGGTTTTTAGAAAATTCTTTCTGTACAGTATTCTATCTCTAATTGTGACCTTTGAGCACTTGATCCAGATAATTATTCTTAAACTCATATATAAATTCTATATGCACAAGATATCTAGAAACAACTGTATTATATTTGCTATACAGAAAACTTATTATTACTTCAACAACAAATTTAACAAGTTACTAAAAAGAAATGTAAAACACTTTTAAACCATTTCAAATAAGCAATAAACAGTATTTTTAACTAATACAAAGCATCTATCTATTTCTCAAATATCAAACTCTTTGACCAACTTATTACTGACCCTAATCTTATTAAATAGTATATACAATCATATTTTATAATTGAATTGCATACTGACTAACTAATTATACCTTATTTGATAGCTTCTGGTATACACAATATCAACTATAACCTTATATTAATATCCAATAGTATAACTCTCTTAACTCTTCTATAACAGAAAAAAAAATTTTCTAAACTTTATTAAAACTTTCTAATAAAAACCTGTAGACCTACAGGCATCAGTTATAAAATGCTTAAACATGTAAGCACTACTTGTTATCAAGTTCTTATTTCATCTTAATTAACAAATCTATTATAAAATCTAAATTTCATATTGTATATCAGATTTACAGTTTAATCTCTTAAATATGACATATTATCAAACTCTGTCTTACTCTCATTATGTCCTTTCCTACTCAATTATATTAGTTCAAAAATAAACTTTTAATATATCCAATAGATTAAATATCAAACTAATTCCCTATACATAATTACTAACACTCAATCTAGGTGAGTCTTAACCACTCTTGTTGATTTAGGTCACAAATAAATTAGTCTAAACTTCTATTCTTTCTATAATATTTTAAAAACAGAATTATATTTTATGTAAAATTTTAATTAAATATTCAATAAAGATAGAGACATGGCCTCACCATTAATATTAAAAAAAAAAGAATGTAGTATGCATATATAAGTATTTTACTTTTTGACATACTAACTTCTTACTAATACTAATGATTACTAATGCTTACTAGTCCTCCAAATGAACTAAAGTCACAGTTTAGAACTATTTTTCAGTTAGTATATCAAAAAATTCGCAAAAATAATTTCTATTTATCTTACTTATGAACAAAAAGAAAGTCAACTGTCCTCAAGTACACATCGAGTTGATCTATCTAGTATACCTAACAAAACGCATTTAAATTATTCAAAGCTCTCTTCAAAAGTGAAATAATAAATTATTGATCGTATTTATAAATTTAAGTTATTTGATTGATTATATGTATTATCTTAACATTGAATAGTTACACGAATAATAGCTTAATCCATGTTCTCACAAGAATAAAACACGTCATAGTATTTCAGCATTAGTGGATGCTGAAATAAGTCATATAAATAAATGTTCGGAATGTTATAAAAACATTTTTAAAGCTTTAGTAAATAAAGGATTTTCACTATATTATCCCACAAATGGTTTGAAATAATGAAAATGAACTTTTTGAAGAATAATCTGAATCAATATATGCAGAAATAGCCTTTTATCTTAATGTATGTACGTTTATTAACTTTGATAAAATTTTTGAGCATTTCGTTGTATTGATAAGGAAAAGAACTGCTGTTAACATTAAGAGTATTGAATTCTTCATCCTTTTTTATAATCGTAAACTTCTCTTCCAGACAGTTTAAAAAACTTCCAATCTTATCATATACTAGTTCATAATTCGCTTTTTCAAATTCTTTTTACAATAAAATCTCATTTTTACACATGATGTTTTGAATATGGTTAAAAATTTTATACATATATATATGCAGGTTACATCAACTGATTAAGTTATATATCGATATATTTATTATAGAAAGAAATAAAGTAATATAAAATTAATATTTTTTGATATATAGTGATAAATCATAGAAAATAATATAATAATAATATATAGTATATTTTACAGTTGTAATTTTAAAAAGATAACTTATTGCTGTACATTTTTGTATCAGTATCACTTTTTCTCAGTTCCTTCAAATCATTAATGTATCCCTCGATGAGACTTATCATAAAGTCTTTAGTCAAATCACATTCACTGTTATGGGCTAACATTCTTGCAATGTGAAGAATATTACGAATCTCACGACCATTCAACTCGTATTCAACAAGATCATCATCTGCTTTGATGTCCAGGCTAGCGCGTCTGAGGAAAATTGTCCATATTTTACGTCTTTGGCTCTGGTCATGCTTGGGGAAATAGAAGAACATGCTAATTCGAGAACAGATTGCATCATCAAAATTCGCACCACGATTTGTTGTCAAGAAGAGGATTCCTGAAAAGAAATTAGGGATAGTGACAGGCAAACCAATAAGAAAATTTCTTTTTCTATACAGTGGCGGCCACATATTTTGCATTACTTGAAAAAAAATTTTTAAATTAATATACCTCCTGAAATTTAAATTATTTTGGAATAAATTTTTTTTATTTAATTCCCGTTACTTTTGATTATCCTAATTAAAAATTAAATAGTAATTTAAACTTTGAACAGGGATATAATCTAGAAAATTTTGCTTTAAGAGCATATGACTATTCTCTAAGCTTTTGGAATTCAAAAATGTCCTTGAACATTTTTGAATTCCAAAAGCTTAGAGAATAGTCATATGCCCTTAAAGTAAAGTTTTCTAGGTCTCCTTTGATTATATCTCCGTCCAAAGTTTAAATTACTATTTAATTTTTAATTAGGATGATCAAAAGTCATGTATCGGGGTAACGACAAATCATGACATGGACGTGATCATGTGATTCAATTGCGCCACAATTTTAGCGTTAAATTAACTTTCAGGAGGTATATGAATTTAAAAATTTTTTTCAGGTAATATAAAAATAATGAGGAAAATAACTAAAATTTTCATACCTTGATAGTATTCTAGCTGACGCAAAAATGCACCAACCATCATGTTGCGGGATAGATCGACTGTGTTACGTTTTTCGAGGTAAATGTCAGCTTCGTCAAGTAGAAGGATAGCTTTCCATGTATAAGCGATTTCCAGAACCCTACTCAGTCGTTTTTCTAATCTGTGTATAGTAAAGAGGCAAACGTGACCATATTAGTAATAATGGCGAAACTAGAGATAATAAAAATTTTACAATTTATTATAACGAAATATGCTACATACTCTTCAGGATTAATCCCAAGTTCGTGCATGCCGAGCATCCATAGTGGCCGTCTTAGAGATTCGGCCACACTTTCAGCCGTCAATGTTTTTCCAGTACCAGGTGGTCCATGGCATAGAATGACGCAGCTATTACCTTTATTGGTTATGGGATCAAGACCATCGTTGTTTGTAGTTCTGCTGTATTGTTTCACTAACCCTTTAAGCAGTTTTTTTTTATCGTCACTTATTACCAGATAGTCGAAGGCCCGTTTGTTAAAGTCAATGGGCGCGAGTTTTGTGACTTCGAACTGGCCCCATATTTTTAGTGCAAGGCTAAATCCATACACTACCGCAGGAGCGCGAAAACAACTATCTTCCTTAAGGTATTCGTCCTTCTTGAGATAAACCTTATTTTGTTTGTTCATCTCATATTGGTATTTGTTTGGCGGTAAGGCATTTTCCATTTCGTAATCGGGATTCATGGTCGCAAAACTTTTGAGATCAATTATGACTCGGCCATCAGCCCTTATCTTCTCTACTTCCCTCTTATTACGCCTATCAGATTTCCAGCGTAATAACGGTCCCTTGTAACTCAAAAAATTGTTTTCTCCTAAGCTATGACGGAAAAACAGTTTTCCGTTTTTGATAAGCTCTTCCTTAAAGCTTTGAATATTAATAAATCTTGCTAGAATAACGGATAATTCAGAAAAACTCTTTACCCCAGAGAAATATTCGATTTTACGGTGTATAGTGCAATTTTTAAATCCGATGCTGTCATAGTCGATTATCTTAATGTCTATAGTAAAAATCTTTTTCCTATCGTCATTATTATCTTCAGATGTCGAGGAAATGATACCGCCAAGCTTCTGACCAGAAATCTCACACTGACTATGAGAGTATGATTTCCAGACACAAGACAGTAAATTTATAAATAAGTAGATAGCGAAATGATATATTAATAACAGTCGACACTCTCTATAACGAACCCCTTTATGACGACTTTGGTTTACAAGAGTCGACTATATTTTAAAACTGCTTGTTCGGGAAATTAAAATTGCAAAAAGTACTTACTACAATACTTCCTCACCTGGGGTATAGAATACCCACAACATGTCGAATGAAACATTTTTGTCCCTTAACATCTTATCTTTAGCTTTAATCGTTTTATCATGTTCATGTTCAAGGAATTTAATCATGCTATTCAGACAGCCCAGATTAGACACTAAGGATTAAATTTCAAGCTTAGTTTATCTACGTGCTGCGAAATCTACTAGCTGTGCGAAGCCACATACCAGCTTTCGTCATGGCAGTATCTTTTAACGTTTTTATCACATGAAACAGAACCCGAGCATTGATTCTGGGTTCTATGTCGTGAATGTCACGGTTGTCACGAAGGATTTCTTGTAGGATCGTGATTAGCGGCTTGGACTTTAACTCAACAAACGTTCGTTGAAAACCATAGTAGTCATGCGAATAAACAACATTAAAGGTAGCATTGTCTCCAATAGGATCATTATTTATATCTGCTTCAAGACGTACCGTTTCGTATTTTTGTCGATCGAAATGTTCTCTGTAGCACTTCCAATCCTTCTTTTGCACTTCATCGTCGACTGAAAAGGCCTCGAAGTTATCTTTGACCTCTTCAACTTCTTTGACTTCATCGACTTCTTTGACTATAATATTGTTTTGCATATTTTCTGGTCGAAGGCCGTTTACGATATTCGCTGCCGCGTTTTCAAAGGATATGGTAAGGTTAGCGAGTAGTTGTTGGAATTGGTTAGCGTCCATCTTCTGTTTTCTTTCTTTTTCTGTTTTAGTTCGGAAATTTCTTCGAGATAACTCTTATAAAAACTATGAACAGATTCTCTAGAAAATTGGGGATTGTTATTGCTTATCATTGTTGGTATTTAGCCATCCTTTAAACTTTTACGCCGCAAATTCTGTAACTTCGGTGAATTCGGCAAATGCTTTCGCAATTAGTGATATTAACCTCAAAAACAGATGCTTGTATGTTAGACAAAAATTAGTACAGTCAACGATAATCCGATCCGAAATCTCTGGATTGTTATGTTGCACAAGCAGGAGGGACCGTCCCGAGTATGCCCCGAGTTTGCAGATCGTTACACAAACAATTCAATTGACTTAAACTTTTTTTTATACGCTTTACATCGGAAGCCCGGGTAGATTATCTTTACTGTGAAACAGGTTAAATTTACTAAGCAAACTTGAAGCTTTCACCTTGTCTTGTAACTTATTTTTTTAATCCCTGTTAATCCCACAGATTTTATATTACGATTTGAACAGCGAAAATATCTCTAAAACTAAGAAATGCTGGGAATGCGAAGCTACTGTGTTGAAGAAATTTCGCACTGAAAAAAGAAAAATGGGAAGAGATTGAAAGTAGAGGCTTAATAAGAGAAGGGTGTGAAGAGGGTATAACCTTATGTAATCATGTTATATGGCTTATGTAGTAAATCTGTTAAATAGTATCAAATAAATAAGAGTTTTAGTTGAAAGTAGAGAAGTTGAAAGTAGAAAAGTTGAAACTAAAGATGTAGAGATTACAACAGAAGATCTTGAGAATATAGATGAGGTAGTAAGTATAGTTGATCTTATCAGGGTTATAGAGACCATAACAAGAATATTTATAAGAAAGAGTACATAAAAAAAGAAGATCTTATTTATTTATTTGATGAACTTTGAGAAGTATTTTAAGCTGATAAGAACCTAGGAAATTTTCTTAATCAGTTATATTTAGTAGCTAAGTCACATAAATGCAACAACCAAATAATGGATTATATAAAGAATTTGATAGTGCATATATGTTATCTTTTTTCATTTTTATATAACACAAAAATTGATTGTTTGAAGTTTAATTTTGCATTATATTTAGATTTAGTAGGTACAAATAATGAGTGACTAAATATGATAATAAATCTTAGCATGGTTATAACTTTAAGATTAGTAAATTATAAAAAGAAAAAATATCAGATGTGCATAAAAAAATATGTAAAGAATTCTCTTAAAAAATTTTTAAATAATATTTTTGTGTTAAACATTAATGATTATCATAATATTTATATTCAATGCAATACTAGTATATTATAACCAGCTCATATAATAACAATTATAATGAATTCATATTTCAGATTAGCAATATCATATAATAGGATACTTAATTCAAAAGTCATTATTAATAAATTGGTATTTTTCCATTCACTCATTTAAGTTGATTTTTCAGAGTTTGCCAATTTGGTATCAAAATCCCCAACTAAAACCATAACCAGCAAACTCGTGGGGTTTTAACTTGGCAAACTTGGCTTTTCAACAGGGTTAATTATTAAACATCTTGATGAACAGTTTATTGTAAATCATGAAATTTATTATAATAATTATATACAAGACTATATAGGTAAATGTTTTGATGATAAGCTTATAAAAAGGTTGACCTTATACAGTTATAATAATAGGTTGGTAGAAATGAAGAGTGACCAGCATATACAAATTTAATACTTTTTAATTTTATTAAAAAAATTTTAAAATATGTAATAGATTATATAAAGATACTCTAAATTATATATAATTAAAAATTAATAGAAGAGTATTTTTTAAGCTATGCAGTTTCAATTGTCATAAACTGGCTTGAGCAGTTCTTTATTCAAAAAACTATCATATATCAGCTTCTTTTTAATAGTAAAATTATTTTTTTATTCATTTTAGTATTTTTGTCTATAATGAGACCTTCTTATGTTTTCTTAAATACTTGTAAGTTACTTTATATAAAAAACTCTTTTTATTCAATAATATTTATAAAGATATATTTGAAAAAAATAAGAAAGATCTGATAAGAAGTTATAGTTATGGTGAATTGACCTAATTCTTCATATAATGCATATGATATAGCTTAATATTATCAATATTATTTATTTAAAATTTGGTTATATATACAAAAATATTAAATTTTTATATTTAACTGATATTTTAAACAATTTAATTATTTTAGTTCTTAATATATATATGGTATATTATTGAGAAGACAATTGGTTATTTTATAAAAAAGCCTGTATGTGTTATTAAAACAATCTTTTTCTTAGATTTGATTAAAAAAATTATAAATAAGTTTCTTTAATATTCTTTTCTGACATTTGTTATTAAATAAAAACAAATCATCCAATATTTGACTTTATTACTAACTATCTTGTTGCTTTAAGTGATTATTTTGTAGAAATTGTTTATAGTATTATTTGTTAACATATAACTGCATATTCCATGATTTGGCAGTTTTACACTAGATGCTATATCTGCAAGCCAACTAAAGGTCTTAATTATTTAAACTTTTTGCATATACAATTCTTCTTATATTACAAGAATATCTTCAAGGTTACACTCATTCAAATTTTTGATATTGGTTGGTATCTTTAGAACTACTTTATTCTTAACAAAAAACTTACTAGAGCCTTTATGTTTCATATATACTGATTTAGTTTTATACAATATATATAATTATCTAACACTTATAGTCATTAAAATTATCTATTTAACTGCTATATTACATTATTTTTATCTTTGTAAAGTTTACTAGAACTCCAGTACCTATCTTTTTAGTATCTTATTCATCATTTTTTATTAGCTACAACTCATAATTAATAATCTCTAATCAGACTACTAATTCAGATATCTTAGTATGTTATATTTATATATATTTTTTCTTTGATGAGTTTAGTAGCCTGATTGGTTATATGCTTCTCTATACATATTTAAGATTTAATTTAATATTTAGTTTCTTTGAAGGTGTTTTGTGAACTTTAACTGATCTGATAATATTGACAAAAGTTTATAATACCTTTTTACTTAGAAATTTCTAAATAGGTTTCTATCACCTTAGTTCCTTAGTTTTTACACCTAGTAATCTTATTGTGAGTTTGTACTAAAGTCTTATATAATATCAGTTATACATTCTTCTATATATGTGTAATATTACACTTTACATAGATGCTCTGAACTTTTAATATCAGTAGATGTATTTATGTTATAGTCATATGAGCTGAATTAATTGATAAAAGACAGTTATTATAATACAGATATAATTTTTAAATTTCATTATAGGTGTGATTTAAACTTTAGACCTAGCATTTGGAAAATGACAATCCAATCACTACATTAGGATTACTATCTTCTATTATATCTTTATTATATATTTATTATTATATATATTTCTATTATAAGAATCTTAAAAATTTTTTTTACATATTTATTTTAAAAAATTAACTAAAAATTCATCTATCTAAAAACACATATAACTATTTATTTTACTAAAATAACTCATTTCAGACTCTTAAATAACTTATTTAGCTTATCATTTTATATATATTCTATAAATATTAAGCTTAATATGAGAAACTCTTTCTGCAAATCTATTGTACAAAAATTAACTAAAAAAATCATTTTATAAAAACATTTATATCTTTTTATTTTACTAAGACAACCTGTCCTGGCGTCTTATATAAACTTGTTCAGCTCATTAATTTATATATATTTTGAAAATATCATAAATTTATCTCTTAAACTTATAAAGAAAACTGTATTGATAGGCTTTGGTCTCCAGTTTTAAATTTTAATTATTTCACAATTTCTATTACAATAACTTATCTTACATCCTTAATTAAACTTGTAGCACACATTTGTCTGTTCAAAACAAGCTCTGAATGAAGAATTTTGACTCAATATTGGCTAAGATACAGTTAAATTTATCTTTTATTCTCTTACAAAAACTTTTCTTACCTTTTGTCCTTACTTCATCTCATTTTTCTTTTACATGGTTTTCATGTAACCATATTATCATTTCCTAAATTATACTTTATTAATTTACACCAAAATCCTGTGTTTTATCTATTTATAAAAATTTATTAAATACAATCAGTTACTTCCTTATTTGGTTTTTATTAATTGTATACAACAATTTGTGTTATAAACCTTATTTGTACCAGTACCTAAGTCATATTGTGACCCCAATCATTCTAGTTATACACCAGTATTATATTTGTAATATCTCAACTATACAACCTTTGTTCCTATTTGCTACATTTGTAAAATCATTATCTAACTATTGGAAATTTTTCTAAGCTTCTAATATAATATTTATTTAACTTATAACAAACTTCAAAAATGTTTACATTAACCAACCAAGATTCTGATATTGTAGATTTTAATTACTTTTACCAAAACTATTCTAATAGTTTTAGAATTACGCTTTATGAAGAAGAAAATAGTAACAATGCTTATTCAATTTCTTCTAAAGTCAAACCAACTTCTTGCTTAACTAAAAACCTCAGATCCAACAAAATTACATATTTTTTCTAAGCTCCTATTTTTATTTCTATGATTACTTGTTTTTGTAGCAAATATTATACCAAATTCATCTTAACTACTAATACTAAGCATATCCAAATTACTGAATTCACTACAGTTCAATTTAACAGTAATACAAAAAAGAATCTTAACAAACCAGCTCAACAACTTCTAACTAATCTCTCTTCTTCAACTGATAATATTTTTTTATCTCCTATTCCTGATATATATTATCATATCTGCTCTAAATGTTCTCTTCCAATTGGCTATATCAAGAGAAATAATTATTATTATTCAAACAAAAAATATGTCACTAAAAACAATAAAGTCTATTATTTTATCTATATAACTGCTTTATCTCAACATAAAGCTAGCTCATCTCAAACCAAAAAAAACCTCACTCAAACCTTCTAAAACATCCTATATGAATTCTCTCATAC